TACATCTGGTTGAGGATCCCCCTCTCTTCCTCTGACCTTTCCAATAACTGACTTCTCCTGACATCATGCCCAAAGTAGACACGTTCATAATGACATATTTTTATAAACAGCTCCCAAAGACTAGGATAAGAAAGAGAATGATCAGGGAGTACCAAGTTTTTGTTTCAGATGCTGAAACATGTTTGGAGATGAACAATAGTGTTGGTAGCACAAAATGATAAATGTAATTATTGTTGCTAGGTCCCACTGAGTTGAGTATGACTCATAGCAACCCTAAGAACTCCAGATCTGAACCCTGTCCTATCCTGTGACATCCTCATCCTATCTGACACTGTAGCCTATTGCTGTAGTTATTGTGTCAATTCATATCATTGAGGATCTTCTCTTTCACTAACTTTCCACCTTTCCAAGCAAGATACCTCTTTGCAAGGAACAGCATCTCCTAACAAAACCCCCAAAGTGTGTGAGACCAACCTCCTATCCACACTACCAAGGAGCACTCTGCTACACTTTTCCCAAGACATATTTGTTTGTGATATTTACGGATCAAGCATTGTTCTAAGCACATTTATTTTATTTATTATTCATAGGATCCAGGTACTTGTTTTTACTTCTTATATATTAGAAGACTCAGCACATTAAGAAACAAATATTAAAAAGATATTATGAAGCAAGAAGGGCTACCTATGACTCCAAAAGCTGATACTTAATTACTCTAATATCTATGAGTGTAGAATGTTTGTAATTTTGGCAGTCCATAGAATATTCACTACTCTTCTCCAACACTACCACTCAAAGGCATCAATTCTTCTGTCTTCCTAATTCATTTTCTGACTGAAAAGACCATAGTCTAAATCGGGCAAATTTTAGTCTTTTATATTACATCATTGCTCTTCAGTATTTTGGAGAGGTCCCTGACAGTAGACTTGTCCAGTGTAATATGTCTCTCAATATCCTTTCTGCTGAATCCAAGGCTGTTTATTGTAGATCCAAGTAAGATGAAATAATTGACAGCTTAAAACTTTTTTCCATCTAAAATGATGTTGCGTATTGGTCCACAGGTGGGGATTTTTTTTCTTCTTCCTGACATTGAGAACAATCCATATTGAAGGCCACAGTCTTTGATTTTCTGCAACAAATGTTTCAGGTTATCCTCACCCTCAGCAAGCAAGGATGTGCCATCTGCACGATGCAGGTTGTTGAAGAGTTTTCCTCTGATTCTAATGGCACATTAAATTGATGGTAGTCAATTTAATTAGTTGAAGACTGTAGATTACTTTTGTTTCACATGTTGGCTATTTTTATCTAATATCACTTTAAGGAAAGTGAAGCTACTAAGATCATCAGAATAGAATGGATTGGACAATAGCTCTTATAACTCACTGCTGTTGAGTCAGTTCCATCTCACAGTGACCTTCCATTAGATTTCCAAAGCTACAAATCAGACAGGAGGAGATTACCCATCCTACTCCCATGGAGCTGCTGGTAGGTTTGAACCACTGACAAGGTGCAGCCTTTCTGTTAGCAGTACAGTTCACTACAGATTATGTAGCCAAAACTCCCTAAGGCTTTTAAAATTCTCCCAACTCCTTCTTCTGAGAAAAGAAACCATCAATGTTTCTTTCTTCTAGGTGTAGCTTTGTAACTAACTGCATTGACCAATCATATAGTTGGAATGATTCTATGTGGCTTTGGAAACCCAAGTTTCCCATTGTTATTGAGTTGATTCCCATTCATGGCACCACCTCAATCAGGTTTCTGAGTCTATGAATCTTAATGAGTACAAATTGCAACCTTTCCCCATGGAATAGCTGGTTAGTTTGAACAGCCAAACTTTCCGTTAGCAGTTAAATACCTAACCCATTACACAGGATTTAAAAAAAAGTAAAAAATGGTGATATAAAGTTTTCTCCTGACTTGCTTTTGGAAGTTCACTCTGGGAGATTCCAATGATCATGTTGAGAGTTCCATAGAGAGAGAAGCTGAAATCCACAGCCACCAGGGAGCAATGACCACCAGACTTGAGATGATTTCAGCTCCCAGTCTTGGAATCTTCTAGCCCTTAATATTGTGAAACAGAGACAGAGTGCCAACTATATATCCAGTCCAATATCTGACTTTCCAATTAAGTGAGCATACTAAATTCTTCTATTATGTTCTTAGGTTAAAAGCTATAGATAGCTGGACTGAAATATCTCAGTCACAAAGGATGCATACTGTATAGTGCTACTGCTGTAAAATGGGACTAACATCGGGGTTGGGGGAGACTGAGAAAGATGGGATAAATTATATATACTGTATTGAAACAGATGAAGGAGAGAACTGTTTAAAAGGGATATATGATTAGGTATTATTGTCATGACAAGAGTCCAGATAAAAGGCTGCATAGTGGAGTAGACTTGGGAGGGATTGTATAACAATTGAACTTTTCTTTGAATTTTCAAAACGAAGGCTCCATAGTGGAATGGACTTGGGGGAGGGATTGTATAACAATGAAATAATTTTTCTTTTACTTTTTCTAAGAGAAGAGTGAACTAGAGGAGGGGGAGGTTGGGCACGGAGAAAAAAGTGCAACAGTGAATGAATGGAAATCCAAAGTCTCTGCAAACTTTCATTAAAAAAAGACTGACATCATAGGCATTAGTCAACTGATGAATGAGGCAATCACAGGACTTTGAATGAGGCAATCACAGGACCTATTATGTGACAATGACAAACTGAGTAAGAATAGATTTGTATTCATAGTAAAAAAGAACATTTCAAGATACATCTTGAAGTACAGTGTGATAGGATACTATCCATTTGTATAAAAGGAAGATCTATTAATGTAACTATTATTAAAATAAAGACATAAACCACTTAAAAAAGCTATAGATAGCTAGAACTACAGGTGTGAGTCTTCAGCAGTGATGTTTGGTTGAGGTAGATCTTTCCTTGGTCTCATTATTGTTCCTTTTAGGCATACTCTCTCCCTTTACTTCTGCTTCTTAACCTACTCATCAGCTTTCCCAATATCTAAACTCAATATAATTGGTTGGTGCCATCAAGTTGACTATAATTCATAGCAACTCTCTAAACAACAGACCTGAACTTTGCCTTATCCTGTGATGTCCTCACAATCTTGACATGTTTGATCCCGTTGTTATAATCATGGTATCAGTCCATCTTGTTGAGGGTCTCTCTTTCTCTGTTCCTCCATTTTCCCAGCATGATGTACTTTTCCAAGGCTGGCCCCCTCCTGATAACATGCTCAAAGAATGTGAGTTGAAGTTTCACTGTCCTTGACTCTAAGGAGCACTCTTGTTGCACTTCTCCATGATAGACTTACTTGTTCTTTTGGAAGTTCATGAGGAATTCAGTACTCTCAAAGGCATTGATTCCGCTTCTGTTACCTTAATTCATTGTCCAACTTTCAGATGCACAGCAAGTCATTGTAAAGACCGTAGCTTGGATGAGGAAGGAAGTTCAATCTCTCTGTAGTATGCAAGTAAATTATCTGTGTTTAAATTCCTATATAGCGGAATAATTTAAAAGGACTAGAAAAAAGAATCATACAGGCTAAAGAGTTAGCTTCTTCCATGAGAGCCACAGATAGGCAAGGGAGTAGAGAGGAAGCTCCCACTCACTCTTTAAGTGTGGATCTGAAGGACACTTGGCCAGGGGTGGCCCACATCAGGTCCTCGTGGTTGACAGGACTGACAAGCCCCAGCTTCCAGCTGGAAACAAAGGAGGATGCTTCAACAATTTAGATCCTCCCAGAAGAGCCGTGGGTAAGCATTAACACTACTGGTAAGTATATTCATTTTCTCCTGAACACAAGAGCCCATTATTTGGTCCTAAAAGCCTTCTAAGGTCCCAATTCTTCTCACTATTTCTTAGTTGTTGGAATTGATGGAAAACCTCATAAGCAGTTTTTTACCTCTGCCTTGCATGTGGACTTCTGAGGTGTAAAACAACCCAGTGGTAGATGGAATTTGGTCCAGGACTTAAGAACAATAAATTACAGTTGAACCTCTACATCTTGTGGTTCCTAACCTTTATACTATAATAGACAAAGTGCTAGTCAATAAGCCTTTTATTTTAAGAACTACCTTCCCTCTGTAACTTGATTTGTGCCACTGTTAGAACCTCTACTTGGAATATTATTGCTTTTAATTTTTGACTTGTGTACTTTTAACTTGTTAGTTAAATTTGTATCTTCTAGGCTGCAACAGTTGCATGATGCATCTTCAAGTATATAAACATGTATGGCTAAACACAATTGATAATAGTGCATCTAAATTCCAAAATCAATCTCCACAATAGTCTACGTGTTTCCTATTGCCAAAGGGGTCCTTTAGAGTAGTGAGAGAAAATCTTCACCCTGAAACCTACAGCGTCCCTTTTCAGCAAGAAGTAGCTAAGAGAATATGCCATCCCCTTTTCCTTATGAATCAGGGTGAAATCTCTCTCAGGGAGGAGTAATAGGGAATGGCAAAGGACACACTGACAAAGGAGATTAATCAGAATTGGCTTTGGCAAGCACTGTGGCAAAGAGACAAGTAAAACAAACTTTCAAGGAATATTCAACCTGAATCCTTCTGATCATATGGAGATTTTTGAAAGTATTTCTTTGAGTTTATTATGTTTAATTTGTTTTATTTGTTTGTGCATAAAGGATGCTCATATAGATGATAACATAATTATGATAAAAACAAAAAGGGGAAAATTTGGAAAGCCAATACTAAATATTTGTAATAAACTGAAAGCTATTTTAAAAAAAGAGTTAGCCTCTTCCTTTTGATCAGAAAATAAATTATAAGCAAATATACACACATTGCCAATTATTGAATAGCATATACACTGACTGGCAACACCAAGAACAATCTTAGGAGATAAAGGCAGATCAATGACAGTGAATGAAGTGAAAAGGCTTTACGGAATTATACATATCCTTTAGAATATCTAAGTAATGTAAGGGTCACATTCCGGCAAAAGGGGGAACAAAAAGTGCAGCTTACCCCTCAAAGCAGTGGGCAACTGTCAGAACCCACTTTTTGGCAATGAGAACACAGCCACAAATGTGTCCACTGGGTTCAGTCTGCAGGGAACACTGCCATGGCCATCTTCCAGGGCGACTCGTGCGACCACCCAGGATCCTCTTGTTCATTCGGGCAGCAGGGCGATGCCCACAGTCTACCATGGAGCAAGCCAAGACACATTTCATTAAATATCGCCAAAGTGAACTAAATAGGTTTTCTATTGCCAGGAACAAACTATTGTTTTCCCCAAGCCAACCTATTTTAATTAATTTCATATTCCATTTCTAAATCACTGACGCTCTCACCTTGTTTACTGCACAGAAGAGAAATCATACTTCTGCTCCGACAAGACTGTCTAGATTTGGAAATATAAAATGGCATAGAATTAAGATGATTGCAAACATGTTATCAGTGCAAAGCAAAAGACAGAGATTTGACTATTGTTCTTTGAACAATTACACATAGTGCAGAAATTTTCAAGGCACAGTTGTGGTCTACTATTATTTATGGTGAGAATTTTTTGTACATTTGTGTGTACTTTTTTGTTTCATTATAATCATTATGTAATTTCACATTTGTGGGAAGATAAACTTTTATTGCTAAACTTTCCCAACATTGTCTTGGATGATAGTCATACAAAGAATATTAACTCTAACTCTATTTTACAAGGTATGGAGAGGGCAAGGGAGGACAGAATCTCAGAATCTATAATGAGGAAAGAACGTGTCAGGTGTTTATGTTTATGGAGAGTTTTACGGGTTATTAAAAAGAAAAAATAAAGAATCATCTTAAATATTTAAAGGTCAAATCAAAGAAGTGAACATTTAGACTTAAGAAATAATCCTTCCAAGACTGTCAGGTTAGGTTTCAGGTCTATGACACAGGAGAAAGAAAAGAAAAAATGTTTCTATGTAACTCTAGATGGTAGAATCAGAATCCACCCCCATCTTTCCAACCCTCCCTTGGAGACAAGGGCCCTTAATCACTCTTCCAGCCTGAAATTAAACCCATTCTGTGGCTCAACTTTCAGCCAAACAATAGGCCACAGGTGAACAATAACACCAGGGAGGTCCCTACTCCTTAGAAGAATCAACTATAGGAGATCAGAGAGACTGCATTTGCCCTGGGAACAAGGCTCGGACACTAAGAAAGGGTAGGATAGAAGGATTAATAGAACAGAGGACAACAGAGAGGAAGTAGAAAGAGTAAAGCTACAATGTGAATATTCTAACCAATGTCATAAAACAAAATATGTATGAATGGTTTTGTGGAAAACCAACTTGTTCTCTAAGCTTTTACTCAAATCACATTTTTTTTTTTAATAAAGTGTGTTGCTTGATACAAGGATGCTTGCCTCCTTTCTTCATTTCTATATTCTCTCAGATTTTAGAATTACCTCAAACAGAGAAACCAGTAAGTTGTTACTTGCTAATATAATGGACACATAGGTTTTGGAAGCAGGAAAACACAAAAAGGTTTATCTCTCCCAACTTCTTCTTTGATAGAAAATTGAAGTCTAATGTAGTAATTAAGGTCATATATCTAGTTAGTCCAGCTATCTGCACTTTCCATTATAATGCTTTGTCTTCTCAAGCTGTCCTTTGAAATCTTCTTTTCAGCTCTTTCAAAGCTTCCTTCTGAAATCTGCAGAGAGTTAGAATTGGAGAATAAAAAGGGAAGAACTTGCTCTGGATTTCTCAAGCTCAGAGAACTGATAAACAAACTTAAGCCTTAAGTCACAATATTGAAAGATGCTGTGGGGAATAACCCAGAAAGCATCAAAAGAAGATGGAGGGAATACAAAGAATCAAAACAAAACAACCAAAAAACCCAAAACTGACTGGCACTGAAAAATTTCAGGAAGTATTATATAAGCAGGAGCCAATGGTAAAGAAGGAGGAAGTGGAAGCTGTATTGAAGACATTGAAAAAAACAAGGCCCCAGGAATAGATGGAATTCCAATTGACTTGTTTCAATTAATAGATGTTGCCATGGATGAACTCACCAACCTATGCAAGGATATTTGGAGGACAGCTTTCTGGCCAATGTATTGGAAGAGTTCCATATTTGTTAACATTCCCAAGAAAGGTGACCCAACAGAATGTGGAAACTATTGAACAATATCATTAATAACATATGCAAGCAAAATACTACTTAAGGCTATTAAAAAATAGCTAGACTAGTACACAGACAGGGAATTGCCAGAAGTTCAAGCAAGATTTAGAACAGGCTGTGGCATCAGAGCACCATTGTTGATGTCAGATGGATCCTGGCTGAAAGTGAAGAATAACAGAAGAATGTCTATATTTATGCTTTATTGACTTTGCAAAGGCATTTGACTACATGGATCATAACAAGCTGTGGCTAACATTGAGAGGAATGGGAATCCCAGAGCACTTAATTGTGCTAATTTGAAACCTACACATGGACCAAGAGCTGTTGTACAAACAGAGTAAAGGAACACTATGTGGTTTGAAATTAAGAAGGGAGTGTGTCAGCAATGTATTATCTCTCGAAATTTATTCTATGTCTGCACTGAGAAAATTATTTGAGAAGTTAGACTCTATAAAAAAATGTGCCATCAAAATTGGAAGTAGACTCATGAATAACTTGTTTGTGCAAATGACACAACCTTGCTTACTGAAAGTGAGGAGAACTTAAAACAGTTGTTGCAAAAATCCAAAGAATACAATCTTCAATATGGATTGTGTCTCAACATGGAGAAAACAAATACTCTTGCCACTGCACCAATAGGCAACATCATGATAGATAGAGAAAAGATTAAAACTGTCAACAATTTCCTCTTACTTGGATCCACAATTAACACCCTTGGTACCAGCAGTCAGGAAATCAGGAGACATATTGCACTAGGAAAGTTTGCAGTTAGTGCTTTCTTCAAATTACTGAGGGGTAATGATGTCAGTCTGAGAACTAATGTGTGTCCGATTCAGATCATGGTCTTTCTGATCACTTGCTATGCATCTGAGAACTGGACAATGAATAAGGATGACAGAATAAAAACGGATGCCTTTGAGCTGTGGTATTGGAGAGGAGTACTGAACATTCTAGAGATAGCCAACAAAACAAACATAGATGTCTTGGAGAGGGTGCAGCCAGAGTACACTCTTTGGAGGCAAGGATGATAAAACTTCACCTTTGGACATGTTGCTAGAAGGAGCTATTCCTTGGAGAGGTACATGATGCTCAGAAAGGCAGAGGGCTGGGGAAGGAGAGGAAGACCCCTGACCGGGTGGTTTGATACAGTGACTGCTACAATTGGCTCTAATATGTCAGGAAGTATGAGGATGTTACAGGATAGGAATGGGTTTAGATCTGTTGTTCTCAGTGTTGCTATGTGTCTGCTTGACTCAATGGCTCCTAACAACAACAACACCACAACATCTAGTTAGTAGGCTAGGATTAGAAGTGAGTTTACCAAGTTCTAGTTTAGATGGATTGATTAATTTAATCTATAGTGACTTTTCTGGCATTCCCATTTATGGATAGCAAATCACTCTGTTGAAAATGAAGATCATTGTTTTAGAGTGTAAGAATTAATACTTCAGTTGACAAATAATTAGAAATGTGAAGCAATTCTAGAGATTGATCTAGGTGAAAATTGTCAAGACACTCTAAAGTGAAGTAAGCCACATTTAGTTTTCATCTTTGGAATTCTTAAGAAACAGTTTCTCTACCATTTATTACAAACTTAAGAGTCAGAAAACCTTAGCTAGAATTCAGTAATTGTCACTTTTCATCCATGATCTGTGAGCTTTGAGTAAATATTTACCCTAAAGTTTAGTTGTCTTGGCTAAAAAAAAAATACAACCCCAAGTCATTAATCATTATTACTATTTTGAGTCTGCTGTACAGATTAAATGAACTCACAGATGTAAAAGGATCTAGCAATATGCCTGTGGTGTAATAAACATTTAATAAAAACTACATTTGCTAATTTCCTTGATTTATCTTTCTCTTAAATCCTCTCCCCTAACCATCACCATAGACAAGGCAAACAACCCTGTTTAAGATGCTGTGATTTTCAAAGGTAAATTTTTCAGCAGTGCATGTTAAAGACCACTTGATAGTAGCTTCACTGTATGCCTTCACTTTTTATAACAGTTGTAGTTTTGTCAGAGTGGTTGTTGGGGTTTTTTGGTTTGTTTTGTTTTGTTTACTATGACTTCAATTGCTTCTATTAGTAAGTTTCAAGCAGGAAATGTGAATATGAGAATTCAATTCACCAAGGTTATGGAGAAAACCTCAACAGTAAAGACAAAATGTAACCCCCTTCCCACATGTTTTTGTAATGATCATTGAAAAGGGTGGGAGAGGGAAGGTAGTTAGCCATGTAAAGAAATTCTGAGTCCAGAGAGAAGACATAAAAATAAACTGCATTTATTGTAAAATTTTAGCCATTTATGGATTTTTTTATTGATATGACTAATTTAGATTACATAAAGTTAGAAAGAGAAGAAAAGCTTGTCCCCTGCTTCACACAGCTTTTGGTAGAGTTCTTACCCTTTTACCAGAAGTTCATGCAAAGTGGTCCCATTGAGGGTCTCCCAGTTGGGCCGTAAGGTCAACCACTGCTTGTCTTGCTCCTGTTCATGAACAGCTTCTGTCATAGATGGCTCCCTGGCATAAGAGCAGATACCAGATAAATATTCTAAGTACAATAAACTTTTCAAGAGACATTACATTATTTAGGACTCTCTCAAAAAGAAGCATGGAATCTTCAAGTCAATATTTCAAGAAAGGGATGTATATTAGAAGAGAGTTGGCAAGCAGAATGATCCACAAGAGAAGTCACTGATTGCATAAACAGGCAATGAAAGTTCAAATGTTTATAGTTGTTTGAGTCATCTTTCTACTGACATACATTTGAACTTTGTGAGGTCATAGAAAATGTTTAGAAGTTCCAATGTCTAAAAAATAGAACTGCTTCAGACAGAGATCAATAATAAAGTATATTTGCATAGCAATATTTTCTCGATCTCCTTTTTCTTGTCCATTTCAATCTTTCAACATGAAGATTTTCTTAAAATAAAATAAAAAAAGAGAATAAATACTCATTTATTGCTTTTTACATAATATAATGAATCCTAAATGGAAATTCTCAACAGCTGAAAAAAATCATTATGCTTTAAAAAATGTAGTTCCTACCGAAAAAGAAAATTAAGAATTCTGGGAAATACAAATGAGAGTTATACAATAGTAATTTCTCATTTACTCAGTCTATCTCATTGGTATTCTACTAATACCATCCTCTGTACATTTATTATTGTTGTCAAGTACCATTAAGTTAGAATTGACTCATAGCTGACCCTCTAGCAAGTTTTCAGAGGCTGAAAATATCATGGGGAAAAAATAGCCCACCTTCCTCTCATGAAGCAGCTGGTGAAATAGAATTTCTGCCTTGGGATTGGCAGTGTAGCTCCTTACCTACAGGGCCACCAGAGCTACTTTGCTCATTTAATAATGCAAAAAAATATAGTTGTACTATTTTTAAACTCTTATAATTCCAAAGTATTTGGACTTATATAAAAAGATCTCATTTTTTATAAGAGTTGGTTTATTTATGCAATTGATATTTTTAAATATTTTTAATTATTTCTATACCTTTCATATTTCACTGAGTCATCTTTGATTAGAATGAGCATATATATGGATATTTTCCAGTTGGCTAAGGAGGTGGTGGTTCTTCCAGATGTATTATTCATGTTAGATGTCATCGATTAGAGTATGACTCATAGCAGTGCTATGAACAAAAGATCTGATCCCTGGTCTATAGTAGGCCATCCTCACACTTGCTGAGGAACAATAGCCTATTGTGGCAGTCACCATGTCAATCTATTCATGTGAGAGTCTCCATAGCCTTCACAGACCCCCCCCCCGATTCCCAGCATCATGCCCTTCTTCAAAGAATAGCCCCTCCTAAAAACATGCCCAAGTATGTGAGGCAGTCTTATTCTTGTTTCCAAAGAGCGCTCTGGCTGCATGTTCTCCAAAACAGAGCTGTTTGGTTTTTTTGGCCATCAGTGGGGTGTAAACTGTTTGGAAATTTTATAAAATTTTGTTAACAATCAAGTGTAAGCTGATTGGCCATTTTTATTTCATTAATAATCAGTTGTGGGCTGGAAGCCTCTTATTTAAGCAATCAGGACCTAGTGGGTGGGTCTTTATATTTAAAGGTGGGTTTGGCCCTGACTAAGCATCTTCAGTTTGGAGCAGTTGGATTCTAGAGGGTGGGGTTTGTTTTATTGCTGAGAAAGTTGGGTGTAAACTGTCTGGGCATTTTTAAATTTTTTTTTTTTTTTACATTTTAATGTTTAATTGTGTCTGGGGAGAATATTGTTCTAAGTTGTTTGGCATTTGTATGTCAGTTGCTGTTATGAGATAACTTGGGATTGCTCTGATACTGGAAGCTGTGCCACTGGTGTGTCAAATGTCATAGGGTTACCCATGGTCAACAGGTTTTGGTGGAGCTTTCTGATTAAGAAAGACTAGAAAGCAGGATGAGCCGTCTACTTCTTAAATAACAGGACTTTGAAAACCCCATGAAAAGTAAATGGCCCTTCCTCCTGGAGGTCCCAGCCCCACTGACCTGACCCCTGAACCTGCTGCCTGGAAGACCTCACTACACAACCTGGGTGCTTTCACCCACCACCTGGACACCGCTGCTCCAGCACCTGGAGGACCTGGCCACATTTTCTGAATGCTCCCACCTGCAACCTGGATGCCCTGGCCTTGCTGCCTGGAGAATGACCTACTGTCGCCCCTCTGAACTGTGTCAGGGACACCAATATCAAAAGTGAAGCCATTTCCTCCCTCTCCCAGAGCTTGAGCTCTATTTAGTTACAGAACCTTTGAACCTATGTAGCTGCAGCAGTTGCCTAACAGAAGGCTGCTACTTCCCAGGGCATATCTCTCCCCAGCTGAAGCAAGTCTTCCCTTGAGTAAAAAGTTCAGAGAGAAACTCAGGAAGGGTAGCTGCCCCACCCTCCTCTGCAGCAGTAACTTCCTGAGCTAAGGTTTTCAGACCAAGAACCTTCTAAGGCCTCAGTATGGAAAAACTCTACCACAGCAATGACACAGAAGAAGCAGACTGTCTCACACCCAAACCCAAAACAAGATGTCACCCCCTAAAAGTTATACAGTATCAATGAATTTCCTGAAGCCAGAAAGTATGATGGAACATTTTGACACAGATTTCAAAAGAATAATGACTGAATATTTTCAATGTGTAAAAGACAAACTCGAAGAATTACAGGATACTACAAGAAAAAACAAAGAGGAACTTCAAAATGCAATCCAAGACAGTGCATATAAAAGAAATGAGACATTAGAGGTGAGATGGAACACAGAACTAGTGAAATAGAAGATAGAATTGTCACTGCTGAGCTGTTAAAACTAAAAGCAGAATCAAAAAAGAAGGGGGGGGAAGAAAGTCTAACAATAATATAGGACACCATCAAGAGGAATAACATGTGCATAATTGGAATACTAGAACAGAAAGAAGTAAAGGGACTGAGAAAGTTGTGGAACAATTACTAGAAGAAAATTTTCCAGGAATAATGAAGAATGAGATCATGCATATTCAAGAAGCTGAGCAACAATCGTATATAATAGATCCCAAAAGGAAAACACCAAGGCATATCATAGTCAAATCTGCCAGAATCAAAGATAAGGAGTGAATTTTAACAGCAGATAGGGAGAAACAAAGAGTAACCTATAAAAGAGAGCAAATAAGATTAAGTGCTGATTTCTCAGCAGAAACCACAGAGATTACCTATATCTAACACTCAAAGAGTACAAATGTCAACAAAGAATACTGTACCCAACAAAACTATCTGTCAAATATGAAGAGGAGACCAAGACACTCTCAGAAAAGCAGAACCTAAGGAAGTTTGTGAAAGCAAGACGAGCATTGCAGAAAACACTGAGAGACGTCCTTTTTACAGAGATACCACAGAAAGCAGGATGGACTAAACTAACCAGCAACACCACCAAAAAGAACTCAACAGAATGATAGCATTAAAATCTTGCCTCTTAATATTTACACAGAATATGAATGGTTCAAATGCACAACTGAAGAGGAAAAGAGTAACATATTTGATAAAAAAGCAAAACCCACCAATATAATGCCTACAAAAAACATACCTGAAAAGTTAAGATAAAGAAAGACTAAAAATTAAAGGGTAGAAAAAATATACCAAGTAAATTGCACCCAGAAAAAAAAAGAGGAGTAGCAATATTAATTTTTGATAAAAAAAAGATTTCAATGCAAAAACCATCACAAAGGACAAGGACGGTCACTATATAATGCTTAAAGGGCCAACAGAACAAGAAGACATAACCATAATAAATATATATGCACCAAATGGCAGAGCTGCAAAATATACAAGGCAAACAATAAAAGAACTGAAAAAAAGAAATATATAGCACGACTATATACTAATTAATTGGATAATTAAGGATGACAGAAGAATAATTAATACACCATTGAGTTTTGGAGCCAGAGATGAGTACTAAATATTTCATGGATTACCAAAAGAACAAATACATAAATTTTCGAGAAGTGCAGCCAGAGTATTCTTTGAACACAAAGATGACAAAGCTTCTTCTTTTATATTTTGGACATGGAGCTAGATGAGGCTATTCCTGGAAAAGGACATCATGCTTGGAAAGATGCAAGGTTAGCAAAGGAGAGGAACACCCCCAAACGAGATGGATTGACTCGGTGACTTTAGCAATGGGCTTGAGTGTGCTGGAGAGGATGCAGATGACACAGGATAAGCATAGATTCAAATTTGCTATTCATAGAGTCACTATGAATCATACTCGACTTGACGGTATCTAACAACAACAGTTCCATTTGAGGGAGTTCATGTGGCTTACTTATAAGGAGTTGCATGACTAACAAAAAGGCAGGCAGTTTGAATCCACTAACTGCTCTGAAGGATAAAGTAGGGAAATCTTCTATGTGATTGTTGTTGTTAAGTGCTGTTGAGTCATAGATAACTCATGGCGACTTAATGAACAAAAGACCTGAACACTTGTATAACTTTAATCATTTCTCCAAGTACATAGGGTTTCCAGAGGCAAGCTATTTTGGAAGTGGATGCCACTCCTGCTTCCAAGCTTGTTTTAAATGGGGAGCTCCACCAAACACTGTCCACCATGGGTAACCATTATAGCATTTGACACATCAGCATTACAGTGTTTAGCATCATGCAACCATGAGTTACCTCTGTACAGCAAATGGACAGACAAGTGCTATACTACTTATATGATTACTGCCTCTTGAAACCCACAAGAAGGTCAGTCAGCTGTAAGTTCTGACTTTACAGTACATTCTCAAGATCAGTAGAATGTGGAAATATCATTAGTATCACATGCAAGGAAAATATTGCTGAATATTATATTTTTTAAAAGCTAGAACTGTACATACACAGAAATTTTCAGACATTCAAGCTGGGTTTATAAAAGGCCATACTGTTGTTGTTGTGCACCCTTGGGACAGAATCCACTGATAAATGACCCTTTGGTAGATTTTCAGAGGCAGTTAATTGCACAGCAGATTGACCATTCTTATGCTGCAGAACAACTGTTGGGATTTGAATCATGTGTCTTCA